TTTCGGGGTCTTTTCTGGTTCCATACAAATTTAAGGATTATTTGTTCCATTTCTTTGAGAAAAGTTGATGGTATTTTGATGGGGATTGCATTAAATATGTAGATTGCTCTAGGTAGCATTGATGTTTTCACAATATTTGTTCTTCCAGTCCATGAGCATGGAACGTTTTTCCATTTCTTTGTGTCTTCTTCAATTTCTTTCATGAGTATTTTATAGTTTTCTGAGTACAAATTCTTTGCCTCTTTGGTTGGATTTATTCCTAGGTATCTTATGGTTTTGGGTGCAGTTGTAAATGGGATTGACTCCTTAATTTCTCTTTGTTCTGTCTTGTTGTTGGTATATAGAAATGCAGCTGATTTCTGTGCATTTATATCCTGCTGCTTTACTGAATTCCTATATGAGTTCTAGCAGTTTTGGGGTGGAATCTTTTGGGTTTTCCACATAAAGTATCATATCATCTGCAAAGAGTGAGGGTTTGACTTCTTCTTCGCTGATTCGGATGTCTTTTATTTCTTTCTGTTGTCTGATTGCCGAGGTTAGGACTTCTAGTACTATGTTGAACAGTAGTGGTGATAGTGGACATCTCTGCCGTGTTCCTGACCTTAGGGGGAAAGCTCTCAGTTTTTCCCCACTGAGAATGATATTCGCTGTGGGTTTTTCATAGATGGCTTTTATGATATTGAGGTATGTACCCTCTGTGCCTATACTCTGAAGAGTTTTGATCAAGAAAGGATGCTGTACTTTGTCAAATACTTTTTCTGCATCTATTGAGAGTATCATATGGTTCTTGTTCTTTCTTTTGTTAATGTATCGTATCACATCGATTTGCGGATGTTGAACCAACCTTGCAGCCCAGGAATAAATCCCACTGGGTCGTGATGAATAATCCTTTTAATTACTTTTGGATCCTATTGGCTAGTATTTTGGTGAGAATTTTTGCATCCATGTTCATCAGGGATATTGGTCTATAGTTCTCTTTTTTGTTGGGGTCTTTGTCTGGTTTTGGAATCAAGGTAATGGTGGCCTCATAAAATGAGTTTGGAAGTTTTCCTCCCATTTCTGTTTTTTGGAACAGTTTCAGAAGAATAGGTATTAATTCTTCTTTAAATGTTTGGTAGAATTCTCCTGGGAAGCCATCTGGCCTTTGGGCTCTTGTTTGTTAGGAGATTTTTGATTACTGCTTCAATTTCCTTACTAATTATGGGTCCGTTCAGGTTTTCTATTTTTTCCTGGTTCAGTTTTGGTAGTTTATACATCTCCAAGAAAGCATCCATTTCTTCCAGATTGTCTAATTTGCTGGCATATAGTTGCTCATAATATGTTCTTATAATTGTATTTCTTTGGTGTTGGTTGTGATCTCTCTCCTCTTTCATGGTTTTATTTATTTGGGTCCTTTCTCTTTTCTTTTTGATAAGTCTGGCCAGGGGTTTATCAGTCTTACTAATTCTTTCAAAGAACCAGCTCCTAGTTTCGTTGATCTGTTCTACTGTTCTTTTGGTTTCTATTTCATTGATTTCTGCTCTGATCTTTATTATTTCTTGTCTCCTGCTGGGTTTAGGCTTTATTTGCTGTTCTTTCTCCAGCTCCTTTAGGTGTAGGGTGAGGTTGTGTATTTGAGACCTTTCTTGTTTCTTGAGAAAGGCTTGTATTGCTATATACTTTCCTCTTAGGGCTGCCTTTGCTGCATGCCAAAGATTTTGAACAGTTGTGTTTTCATTTTCATTGGTTTCCATGAATTTGGTTAATTCGTCTTTAATTTCCTGGTTGACCCATTCATTCCTTAGTAGGATGTTCTTTAGCCTCCATGTATTTAAGTTCTTTCCAACTTTCCTCTTGTGATCAAGTTCTAGTTTCAAAGCATTGTGGTCTGAAAATTTGCAGGGAATGATCCCAGTCTTTTGGTAATGGTTGAAACCTTATTTGTGGCCCAGGATGTGATCTATTCTGGAGAATGTTCCATGGGCACTAGAGAAGAATGTGTATTCTGTTGCTTTGGGATGGAATGTTGTGAATATATCTGTGAAGTCCATTTGGTCCAGTGTGTCATTTGAAGCCTTTATTTCCTTGATCTTTTGCTTAGATGATCTGTCCATTTCAGTGAGGGGGGTGTTAAAGTCCCCTACTATTACTGTATTATTGTTGATGTGTTTCTTTGATTTTGTTTTTAATTGGCTTATATAATCGGCTGCTCCCATGTTAGGGGCATAGATATTTAAAATTGTTAGGTCTTCTTGTTGGATAGACCCTTTAAGTATGATGTAGTATCCTTCCTCATCTCTTATTATAGTCTTTGGTTTAAAATCTGATATAAGGATTGCCCCCTGAGCTTTCTTTTGATGTCCATTAGCATGGTAAATGGTTTTCCACCCCCTCACTTTCAATCTGGGGGTGTCTTTGGGTCTAAAATGAGTCTCTTGGAGACAGCATAACGATGGGTCTTGTTTTTTTATCCACTCTGATACTCTTTTGTCTTTTGATTGGGGCATTTAGCCCATTTACATTCAGGGTAACTATTGAAAGATATGAATTTAGTGCCACTGTATTGCCTGTAAGGTGACTGTTGCTGTATATTGTCTCTTTTCCTTTCTGTTCTATGTTACTTTTAGGCTCTCTCTTTGCTTAGAGGACCTCTTTCAATATTTCTTGTAGGGCTGGTTTGGTTTTGGAAATTCTTTGTTTTTGTTTGTCCTGGAAGCTTTTTATCTCTCCTTCTATTTTCAGTGACAGCCTAGCTGGATATAGTATTCTTGGCTGCATGTTTTTCTCATTTAGTGCTCTGAATATATCATGCCAGTCCTTTCTGGCCTGTCAGGTCTCTGTGGATAGGTCTGCTGCCAATCTAATATTTCCACCATTGTAGGTTACAGACCTCTTGTCCCGAGCTACTTTCAGGATTTTCTCTTTGTCTCTGACACTCGTGAGTTTTACTATTAGATGTCGGGGTGTTGACCTACTTTTATTGATTTTGAGGGGGGTTCTCTCTGCCTCCTGGATTTTGATGCCTGTTTCCTTCCCCAAATTAGGGAAGTTCTCTGTTATAATTTGCTCCAGTATGCCCTCTGCCCCTCTCTCTCTTTCTTCTTCTTCTGGGATCCCAATTATTCTGTTGTTTTACTTTATGGTATCACTTATCTCTCGAATTCTCCCCTTGTGATCCAGTACTTGTTTATCTCTCGTTTTCTTAGCTTGTCTATTCTCCATCATTTGGTCTTCTATCTTCTGCCTCATTTATCCTAGCAGTTAAGAGCCTCCATTTTTGATTGCACCTCATTAATAGCCTTTTTGATTTTGACTTGGTTAGATTTTAGTTTTTTTATTTCTCCAGAAAGGGATTCTCTAGTATCTTCTATGCTTTTTTCAAGCCCAGCTAGTATCTTTATATAATCGTCATTCTGAACTGTAGTTCCAACATCTTACTAATGTCCATATTGATTAGGTCCCTGGCAGTTGGTACTGCCTCTTGTTCTTTTTTTTGAGGTGAGTTTTTCTGTCTTGTCATTTTGTCCAGAGAAGAATAGATGAACAAGATCATGCTAAAAGGGTAACAATGACCTCAGAAAAATATACACAAATCAGAAGAGACCCAAAACGGGGGTTGGAGGGGGGGAGAGAAAGAAAGAAAAAAAAATATGATCAGGTTGGTGAGTGGAACAGAGCCACACACTAGATTTTGGGTTTATTTTGGTCTGTTAGAAGAACAGATCAAAGAAAAAGAAGAAACTGCCTCCCAAAATTTTAAAGAAAGGAAAACATGTATATACACACAAAAATAAGGGTAAATACGATGAAGGGATGGAATATGACTGTAAAGATGAAAATTAAAAAAGATTTTAAAAAAGGAATTGATAGGGTAAGAAGTTGTTTGAAAAAGGAAATAACAAAAATTAAAAAAAAAAAAAGAATATGATCAGGCGGGAGACTAGAACAAAGCCATACACTAGATTTAGGGTATATTTTGGTCTGTTAGAAGAAACTGTATCCCAAGATTTTAAAGAAAGAAAAACTTACATATATACAAAAAATAATATTAAATACAATGAAGGGATAGAATATGATTGTAAAAATGAAAATTAAAAAAATTTTAAAAAAGGAATTGATGTTTGTTGAAAAAGGAAAGAAAAATTAAAAAGAAATAGAAAAAATAAAGAAAATTTAATATATTAACTTTGAAAGACTAAAGAATCGGGAAAAAAGCCATGAATTCTATGTGCTGTATTCCCCTAGCTCTGGAGTTCTGCCATTCTCATTGATTGGTAAACTTGGTCTTGGCTGGCTGTTCTTGCTGATCATCTGGGGGAGGGACCTTTTGCCGTGGTTCCCAAATGTCTTTGCTGGAGGCGGAATTACCCCGCCCCAGCCAGTGCAGGCTAAGTAATCTGCTCAGGTTTGCTCTCGGGAGCTTTTGTTCCCTGCAAGCTTTCCGTACAGCTTTGGAGGACAAGAGTGAAAACGGCGGCCTCCCAATCTGCGCCCTGGAGGAGCCGAGAACTCGGGGCCCCACTCCTCAGTGCGCCCCCAGAGAAAAGCAATCACTCCTGTCTCCCCAGTCTCCGGCCACACTCCATGCTCACCCGGCCTGTGACCGAGCGTTTCTATCTCTGGCACCCGACCCCGTGTGGAGTCTCCAAACCCAGCAGATCCCTGCAGTGCGCTCCTGTACAGGAAACAATTAATTTAGAAGACTGGGATTAAAATAGAAGAATCACAGAGAAAGTCAACTGAAGGACTCTGTCCCAAGATCTCTGTGCCCTAGAAATGGAATTTCTCAGAGAAGTTGTGGAAGCAGGGAAACCTGGGTGGCTCAGTCGGTTGGGCATCTGCCTTCAGCTCAGGTCATGATCTCAGGGTCCTGGGATCGAGGCCCCTATTGGGTTCTCCGCTCAGCGGGGAGTCTCCTTCTCCTTTTCACTCTCCCCTTGTGCTCTCCCTCTCTCAAATAAATAAATCTTTAAAAAAGAAAGGAAAAGAAAAAGTTGTAGAAGCAGTATTTTTCCAGAATGTATTTTGCAAAATCGTTTATAAGGCTCTACTGGGTGCTACTTGTACATAAAAGTGTAGTGAAGCAAATTTGGGAAGTCCTGGATTTCATAAGATTAAGCAGATTCTTTTGTGTAGGACTTGACAGCACCTTTAGTGAGCATTTTCCAGGTAGAGGCACATTACATAGCAGCATTTTATAAACTCAAGTACATGAGACCGCAGAACTGTTTGGTTCTTGAAACAGGAATAATGTTCTACGGGATACACTTTGGAAAACATTATGGAATGTTCTTGGAGGTGTCCATGAGCAGGTACAATGGGTACACATTGTGGCTTTCTGGGGGGTAAGGAGCTTGAAGTAAGACATTAAACTATCATAGAGGAACTGCCCAACGTGAGGGATGATTGTCTTTGCCATTACACTTTTTTTTTCTTTTGAATAAAAATTCACAAAAATAAATTCTACAGCTAATCTATAAACGTCATCTTTGTTTTTAGTATCAGAAGTAAGCTGTATGGGGGAGAAGTCAAACTTGAGAATCTGTATCTGATTTGGTTTTAATCTGTTAGGATTTAAGATAAGCCTATTGTAAATTTGTAAAGATACAGCATTTAGCTCTTGGCTGGTTTCATGGAACTGGTAGATGAATAATGGATGAAGATTATGTTTAAGTAGAACCTGATGGAATTCCCCATGTCTTCTCTCCCCCTCCTCCTCAGCCCTACTCCTCACTTCAAGGTTGCCAACAATCTGCCTGGACCGACCACAGTCAGTGGCCATTGTCCGTCCTCAGTTTATTGCACGTCTTTGCCTCACCCAGCTCGGTTGTCTCCTCTGTCCTCCGAAGCACTTCTCTCTTGGCTTCCCTGACACCGCACTCACCTGGTTTTGGTCCTCCTCTCTGTACTTTGCAGTTAGCTTCGTCGGTGGTTCTGCTGACTTCTAAATGTGTTATACCTGAGGGCTCAGTGTTGGGTCCCCTTTTTCTGTTTTGTACTCACTTCCTAAGTGATTTCCTGCAGACTTGTAACTCTCTCCGCATACCGTCTACATGGGGAGGACTCCCAAATCTCTAGTCTCCAGTCAAAAACTAACCATTGCCCTCAAACCACAGGTATCTACTATTTGCACTTAAGGCATCACAAATAGCAAGCACTGTGTCCAAAACCTGATTCTTGGTAATCTCTACTTTCCCTCTTATTCTTTACTCACTCTTTTCTGTCTGTATTAATGGCACTACCATCCTTCCAGAGAGTTTCCCTCCTCAGTCTCTAATTCTTCACTGCTACTTAGCCTGCCACCACCGTCGTCCAGGCCACCAGAATCTCGGGCTTTAATTTCTACCATTTCCTCCTCCCTGATTCCTCACTTTCGTATCTCTCTTTTCAGCCTTTTTTTCTACACAGTCAGTTATGTTTCAACTATCAATCTGATCATGACACCCATTTTAAATAAAGCCTTGTAACGGCTTCCCATTGCATACCGAATTTAGAGCAAAATCCAGACTCCTTCTCATGGCCTGAAAGGCACCTTCACAGGCTGCTCCCTTCCCCTCTCTTTCCTGCCTCGTATTCCTCTTGCCACTGTACTCCATTCACACTGGCCTATTTTCAGTTCCTCAAGCGTGCCAACTGCTTTCTTGCCTTCACACATGCCCTAGCTTCTCCTTGGAGCAGCTTTCTGCCCGTCCTTTGCGTGGCTGGCTCCTTCTCACTGTTCAGTCTTAACCGGCATCTCCTCAGGGAGGCCTTTGCTGACTGTCCAGAGTAGGTTTCTGTACCCGTTCCCCCGCCCCATGACTTGCACTACTTCTCTGTTATTTCAGAGTGCCAGTCCTTGTACTCTCTGTCTCCCACACTTGATTGTAAACTCCTGAAGGTAGGGACTGTGTTTATTCACCAATGTAACAAACATTTTTTGTTAAACTTAAAAAATTCAGTGACTGAATTCTGAGCTTAAAAAAATCTGCAGATGTAAAGAGTTCATTTTTTAATGTAACTTTATTGCATTCTGAATGTACTGGATATGCGTCCAAAGCTATGAGCTCAGAGTAGTCACTTATTGTTTCATTCAACAAATATTGATTCACCACATGCTAGGATAGAAAAGAATGATGTGAGGTAAATGATAAATAGGACTGTGTCTAGGAGGTAATAATCAAGTAGGGAAAACAGACAAACAAATAATTGTAATATAGTACAATTAAGGCTTGTTCTAAGTTCATCAGGAGTCCCAAATAGGGGTATTTTTCAAGGGGTGTCTTTGCAGGGCTCTGGCATGGGCTGGGTCTTGAAACACAGCCAGGTCCACTAGGCAAGTCAGGCGGGAGTGGGAGTGCTAGAAGGATGTTCCTACCAGGGGGTGGTGTGACAGTGGTAGAGAGATGTTAAAACAGCAGAGTGCTCCTTGAAACCCAAATCTTTTAGGTTCCTCAGTTTCTGACAGCAAGCATTAAGAGGTTGGATAGCAGGATAACTCAAAATAATTTTTTTAAATCTAAATGTGTCAGGTGGAGCTATATACCCATGGAAGACATCAAGGTCTGAGGCTAAAGGTGTGGGAGGACAGAATCCAGAGATGGGGCCCCTGTGCTGGGCTAAGGGTTGGGACTTTAGAGAGCCACTGAATGGGTTTAAGCTGTAGCCACATAATTAGTGTTTCAGAAAAATCATTCTGGTGGCAGGATAGAGGAGTAGTTTGAGGGACGTGGTACTGGAGGGAACAGATTCAAGAGTTTAAAAACACAAACTCATGAGGAAGGAAGATGATTTCCAGACTTCTGTTGATTTGCAGAACTAGTTAGAAGTGTTTACAGTTTAGTGGGAACTGATGAGGAGCACATTTTAAGAGGAAAGATGATCTCTTTTGAAATTACGGAGTTTGAAGTAATAGTAGGATACATATTCATAAGTATTAGACGAGTAAGATAAGTATTCATGGTCAGTATTAGAGAGATCCAGTAGGATGGTGTATGTGGCAATTAACATACAAGTATTTAAGACCACGGGAGGACCTAAGAGGGAGAAAGCCAAGGATAGCACCCTAGAGAACATGTATGCATATGGAAGTGTTCGTGAAAGAGAAGTCTCTATATGACCAAGAAGGAATAGTCAGGGAGGTGGGAAGACAATAGTATTGACTTCTAAAGAGAAGGTAAGAACTGAAGAGTATCATATGTGATAAGGACCATGTTAATAACAGGAAAGTAATGGTCCTTCCATCATAAGTTGATTACTTTTCATGACTAGACTAAATTTCCAACCCTAGCTAATTATTTTGAAGATATCTGATCTTAGTCAAAGGAAGGGAAGAATGATTGGATATGTGGTTGGATCAGTTCAAATTGATCCCTACATCTGGAAAATAATTCAATACGTCAGTATATGGGGAGGGTAGTATACTTTTGTGTAACTAATACAGTCTTTATTATATACCATACAGTGAAATCATAAAGCACTATATTTGATGGTTTTACTATGCATCGTACAGTGAACATATTGGTAGTTAAGTTTTTTTTAAAGGTAGCATGCTTTTAATGGAATGTTTAGTAGTGAAGATAAGACAGTTAAAGGAAGCTGTGTCATTTAGAGAAGGCAGATGTCCTCGGTACGGTCTTGGTTCAGTGCTGGGTCCTTGGCTTTGATCAGATTATGGGGAGGCACTCATGTTAACTTAGGTCGTAAGACGACCAGAATGCTAATTTTTAAAAAAAGTTACAGTGAAACAGAGCAGACAAGCTCTTCCTGCTTGTTGATCTCTTTGGGAAAACTTTATAATGGAGTTGAAATATAAGCAGAATGTGGTTTGGTAAGTGTGGGATTCTGAGTAGGGGCAATTAGCTGAATAATCTTACTTGGAAGGTTGGAGAAGAAAATTTGCCTGTGTATTATATTCAGAGTCCTCTTCTGGGTACCATAAATAAAACCTAGCTGTCAGTGAGGGCCTCTGGTGAGTAGGTAGTGTGTAGGGTACAGAGGCAAGTAAATCTCTGCACTAGAGGACCTAACTGTCTAGTCGAGGACACGTGCGTTCCCTAAGCCTAATGACCAAAGAAATGACATTATTTTCTCTAAGTGAACTGGTATGAGGGATTTGTAATGCCTTGTGTTCTTGCATATTTAGTGCAAATGGTTCTTGAAATGTAATGCTATAATAATTTTTCTTTGAACCTGCAGGTTCTCCAGAAAAGAAAATTGAACATTCATCCATGAATCAAGAAAATAGTTCTGCAAACCCTATCAAGAATAGAAAAGCAAGTCCAGTATCTAAAGACCACCGGACTGGAAAGAAAACCTCAGAGAATTCATTAGTACAGGGTCAAGTGCAGAAGCGGAACGATGAGTCTGAAAGTGATTTTGAATCAGATCCCCCTTCTCCTAAGAGCAGCGAAGAGGAGGAACAGGAGGATGAAGAAGTTCTTCAGGGAGAACAAGGAGATTTTAATGATGATGATACTGAACCGGAAAATCTGGGTCATAGGCCTCTCCTCATGGATTCTGAAGATGAGGAAGAAGAGAAACATAGCTCTGATTCTGATTATGAGCAGGCCAAAGTAAAGTACAGTGATGCGAGCCCTGTCTACAGAGACAAATCTGGCAGTGGACCAACGCAAGATCCTCCTAACACACTCCTCACCCCGACCCGATTGCCCTCTGATGTTGGAGTGGAGGCTCCTAAACAGGAGTTTGATGTATTTGGCGCTGTCCCCTTCTTTGCAGTGCGTGCTCAACAGCCTCACCAACGGAAGAATGAAAAGAACTTCTGTCAACAGCCCCTCTGTCCTACTGTGGGTCTAGAGCAGGAGGAATTTGATGTATTCACAAAGGCACCCTTCAGCAAGAAGGTGAATGTACCAGACTGCCGTGCAGTGGGGCCCAAAGCACAAACCCTCCCTGGTTGTCCGAAAAGTGTAGATATCTTTGGCTCCACTCCCTTTCAGCCCTTTCCCACATCAACAAGCAAAAGTGACAGCAATGAGGACCTTTTTGGGCTTGTGCCCTTTGAGGAAATAACTGGGAGTCAACAGCAAAAAGTCAAACAGCGAAGCTTACAGAAACTCTCTTCTCGCCAGAGGCGCACAAAGCAGGATCTGCCCAAAAGTAATGGCAAGCGGCATCACGGCACGCCAACCAGCACGAAGAAGACCGTGAAGCCTACCTACCGCACTCCAGAGAGGGCTCGCAGGCACAAAAAGGTGGGCCGCCGAGACTCTCAAAGTAGCAATGAATTTTTAACCATCTCCGACTCCAAGGAGAACATTAGCATTGCACTAACCGATGGGAAAGACAGAGGGAATGGCCTGCAGCCTGAGGAGAGTCTGTTGGACCCCTTCGGTGCCAAGCCCTTCCATCCTCCAGACCTGCCGTGGCACCCTCCACATCAGGGCCTGAGTGACATCCGTGCCGATCACAACCCCGGCCTGCCTGGGCGGCCCAGACCCAATTCACTGCATGGCTCATTCCATAGTACAGATGCCTTGAAAATGGATGATTTCGGTGCCGTGCCCTTTACAGAACTTGTAGTGCAAAGCATCACTTCACATCAGCCCCCACAGTCCCAGTCAGTCGAATTAGACCCATTTGGTGCTGCTCCATTTCCTTCTAAACAGTAGATACTTCTGGCGGACTCTTGGCATTAACTCCTGTTTCAAAAAAGTATGAATAGTTTTATGAATTTGAAAGAAAATTTATTTGTATAGCTCTTTATATCATTCACTCTTACAGGTCAATCAGCATAGGTGATTTTTAAATAAACCAAATAGAAAAAGGAAGTATCTCCACAGGGTAGTGACTCGCTGTCTTTTCCATGCAGGAGAAAAGGGAGCTTGACTGCTCGCTCTAACCCTGGGTTTCAGCCACCAGACGTGACTCCACGGAAATCCCGGGAAAGCACGTGCCACCTTTCCAGTTGCGTAGCCACTGAAAAGGGACTGGAAAGCTGTGTCATTCTTTTTAGAACAGAATGTCACTTGTGTGTGCATATTCTGGGCTCATGGCAGGATCCAGCGTGTAAAACTAAGGTTATTTGTACATACACAGGTTGCATTTGTGGATTTTTTAAAGGTCTCTTCTAATTTCCACACAGTAAAAACAAAATCTGGTTCTCCTAAAGAATTAAAAAGTTAATACCTGGAGAGAGCAGAGATTTAGTCCTTACACCGTTCTCGACAAAGCAGAGCCAGAAGTAACTGACTATTGTGCCTAAAACTGTTGCATTTTTAGAAACAAGTGCCATTAATATGGAACATCTACACAGAAGCCTAGGACAAAAACTAAAGAGAAATACCTGACGTGTGGAAAATGTAAAAGAAAAAAAATGATACTGAAGAGAGAGAAAAAAAAACTTACTTCAGGAACACTTTATATATTGTTTTTGAATGGCTTCTTGCTCAAAACTTTTACTGTCATGTCCCTAATAAAGCAGATTGTTGGAAAAATGGGGAGTGAGGACAAGGGTTGTATAGAAATTGTACTTCAGGAAAAAAAAATGTAGCTGAAACCCTGTTTTTAAGACGTTTACAACATAAAATCATGTTGCATTTAATAATGTACTTTATTAAATTACCACCTTCCCCAAATATTCCC